TTGGGACCTTCAGTCTCCCGGTGACAGGAAACCAGTTGTAAAGTTGTAAAACTCAGTTGTTTCAGATGTAGCTAGTGACTTAACTCCTCCCAATTGAATGGCAGTATCACTTTTAGGGATCTGACAGCATGCATGCCAAGAAAATGAAGTGTACAAAATGTGCTGCATTGTATCAGCATTATTTTGTGCAAAGCTAATTGACAAGTTCTTACTGTGGTAGCAACATTGTCAAATGTAAAGTTTCAAATGCATAATTAATATTTGAAGGATTTTAATTTTATTGATAGTTGATAAATAATTTGAATGTTTAAAATCTTAAATCTCCTTACAAATGTTTTAAAATTTTTAGATTGGCATCAATAATACTAGAGATCAACAAAAAATTTTAGGTGCTGTTAAAGAACTACATATAGAAGAAATAAAGTTGGAAGAGCTGTCTGCAGTGACAAACTTGGAATTCAGGTAAAATAGTATTAAAAAGAAAGATAAACTATTCATTTAACTAAAATAGTAATAAAGATCATACTCATATTTAATAGTCAAATTATTATTTTGCAAAGATCTACTGTGAAATACTAAAGCTAAAGGATACTCATTTTCATATGACCTTAGAGTGAGCAGTGTCCTCACCCATTATGCATATGCGTAAAATAAGAGATTAAATAAGGCTACCAAGTCATTATTGTAAATAAATTAGTTTGATGGTAATTGCTTATCTGAAAGTAAATACTCCATTTGCATTTCTGATTCTTTAGTTGCAGTTATGAAAGTTAAAATTTAAAAGAATGTACCTGTTTTAGTATAAATTAATAATTTTTTAATATTTTTGTTACAGTGGTGATGAATTTCTTTCCTTTCTTATGAAACTAAAAAGACAATGCAGTCAACTTAAAACTTCTGTGCAGAATGTTATTAGTCAGTTTCCTACAGATGCTCATAAGGTACAATATTCATCTAAATGTGTTTTTTTCAGAACACCATTCTACACTTAAGTAAAATTAATTTAATTAATTCCCCACAAGGGAAGAGTTTGTGGGCTGGACCGCTCTCTCCATATTAACAGTGATTGGAAAAGGCATTGGAGAAAGGCGCTGAAGTAACACGGGGCTGCCTAGGTACCATGGTTGGTGATATATCGAAAGCTACTAAGAGGTCAAGACGAGCAAGAATATTCACTGCCCCTCCTTCTCTCACCACAATTTCACTTTTATTTATTTATTTGTTGCTTATCTTGCCCTGGGGCTACTCTGGAAACACTTAAAACAATAAAAAGGAAGACTTGAAAAAGTGTAACCAGAACAAAAGTAAAATAATACAATAAATGAAACAATGAAAAAGAAAGTGAGAATATAGCATTATGATAACAATGGGTGTTATGGGTGGAAAGCAGGTGGAGGAGGGAGTGACGTCTGTTATCAATCCAGCAGCCAGCTCCAGTCAGGAACTCCCCCATTTGGCCCCCCAGGCCAACCAACAGAGCCAGGTCTTCAGGCTCTTGTGGAAGGATAGTGGGGGGTTGGATGGATTTTATCCTAGACAGTAAGATGTTCCAAAGGGCGGTGCTGTAGCAGAGATGTCTTTTCTTCTGGATCCCAATAGTCGAAGTTCTTTCAATGAAAGGCTCCAAAGTGGGCCCTCTCTGCCACCACGAATAGGATGGGCTTGTTCTAGCAGGATGAGAAACTACCCACAAGCATAACCAGTGCTATTTTATCCCATAGTCAAGCCTGGAGATCAACTGAAGGGAACCTAGTCTGCCATCTTGTACCAGGACAGTGAAATCAGAAAATATATTGTTAAATAAACAATAAAACTACAGACTTATGGTAACAATTTATAGTCCTGTGGAAGAACAGTATGTGAAGGGTAAATGTAAGTTTGGACACATGCCAGGCACTGTCCAGAAAAAGGTTTATTTTTCCAAGTGATTGAATCTGGAATTTCCATTGCTAAATGATGCGGTATGAAAGCATTTTATCACCTGACCGCAACAGTTAGTGCCGGCAATCCCCATTGCCAGTAAAGCAAGGATCACGGGTCACTTAGTGAGTGCCAGATAGGCAGGTAAGGCATGAATGGATGGTTTCTGCTTGGAGAGGGGAGGGTGCATGAGTGGCCAGCACCGAGACCTAGAGAAGGATCTAAGTAACTGACTGGAGCAAGTGTGACCTTCCCTGCTGGTTTACCTGTTTTGTTTGCTTGTAGGAAGCTGGCAGGGATGGTCTCAAATCATGTGACTGGGATGCTGCATCCACCCTAAGTACCCTTAGCCGCCCTGAGTCCCTCGGGAATAGGGCGGCATACAAGTCGAATAAAACCTTCAAACTTGTTGCTAAGAATCCAGATCACAATTATCTAGCCATGGGCATACTGGGTGGCCCAGAACTTCAGGAACCTTTTGTTAGTCTCCTTTTTTTAATTAAAGAGTTTTAATAGATTTTACAAATGTTTCCCCTTCCCCAACCCTATCCCCCCTCCAACCCTCCCTCCCCCCAACCTCCCAGAGCAAAATACAGGGTATAAACATTTAACAATCATACACTAAGATAAGCTAACTAACTATAGCATCCTACCTCCTATTGTACTTTAACTCCCCTTTTATTAAGCTAACCTTAGATAAATTGTAACATACCTTGTTCATTCATTCATAAACTAGTTGAAATTCCTTAGTCCGATATTTATTTTGAATGTAGTCAATCCATCTTCTCCATTCCATCTTGTATTTCTGATCTGAATGATCCTTCAAATATGCTGAGATTTTGGCCATCTCTGCTAAGTTCAGAACTTTTAATGTCCATTCTTGAATAGTAGGCAATTTTTCTTTCTTCCAATACTGCGCCACCACCAATCTTGCTTCCGCTGTTAAGTTCAGAATCAAATTAGTCTCTATAACTGTACACTCTGTAACTATACCTAGCAAGAACAGCTGGGGAGTTTTGTTAGTCTCCTTTGTCCTCTAACAGTTGTTGAATGAATGGTCTGTGTGGACTACCTATATTCTTTTGCTATTGAAGAAGCTTATCAGTTTGCTTAAAAGAACACAGCAGGCCATACCAACTTGAGGTTCCATAAAGAAGCAAAAGAGCTAAAAGAATTGAATTGACCACTCAATGTCACCTTGGACTAAACAAGCACCTCAAGATGGACACATTTACTTTTGATGACAACTCACCAGATGTGATGTACTCTCTATTATGAAGAACTTATTTGATTCATTTGGGTTGATAGTTCTGGGGAAGTCCCTGGTAAAAAGTTATCTTCAGATGTATGATATTGGGATACAGTACTGCTTGTATCATGATGATGATTTATGATAATGAAATGCAAGAATGGAAACAATATATATATGTTGTACTTGTGCTGATAAATAAATAAAGGGAGACTAGTATAGATCTATTTCAAGCTATTTCGCTCAGATCAGCTAGCCATGTGTCTTGTCTTGTGTCTTGTGACACAGCCGATAGACAGAGAATGGAAGCAGTAAGCTTCCTCCCATATTTGGGCATACCAAGGGTTGTGATACTAAATATGTATGTATGTATCTATATATGTATGTTTCCATGGATATGTGTCCATATATATATATGTCCTCTTTCTCTTATAACTCAGCATAAAAAAGTTAAAGCCACAGTAGTAATAACTGATATGATTGTCATTGACCACCGAATACCTCAGCCCGAAGAAGATATAATTCTTACATTAAAAATATTACCCAAGTACCAGAGCAAATATTAAGTGCATACAAGATGAAAGTCAAGTTTTAAACCAATGATAAACAGTACCAGTCAGCATATGCAACCACCCTAGAAGATCCTCTGTAACAAGTATCAAGATTGAATTAAATAATAAAATTGAACATACCAAGAGATCAGCACACCAGAACAGAGCAGACTACAAAATGATACCTGCAAAACAATTTGTGCAAACAACATGATTTACAAGGTTATAATTCCTCCTAAAATATAAAAATGTAACACAAATACAGATAGTCCTCGATGTATGATCATTTGTTTAAGATAGTCTTATGACAGCCTTGGAAAGGATGCTTTATGGGCTATAAAGCACTTCCCACTGTTACAAAATGCCACATGATTGCAAGTCAGTTGTTTGGCCAATTGCCCACATTTTTACCTGTGGCAGAGTCCAGTCATGTGATTGTGATTTGCAATGTTCTTTGCAATTCCCATTGACCACATGGTTTGCATAACAATTATTGTTAAGGTGGTCATAAAACTCTAGGATTCCGAATGGAAATTCCATTCCCTATTGTTATTGTAAGTTGCGAACTATTTTTAAAACTCTTCATGTTGTTGGAATCTGTATGAGTGGAGAGCTATTCTCAAGTGGAGGGATTTGCCAACATTTCATCTAAAAATCACCTTGATATGCATTACTTTAAACGTATCAACTTTCCTACAACTGTAATACCTCTTTGCCATGATGCATCATATTTTCACCTGAAACCAGAGGCTATCCCTTATGTTTGCTATTGTTTGCATATCTGCACAAAACCACACTCACTTTGAACTTTATTGAGGATGGTAAATCCTCTCTAAGATGTGTCAGGAGGCGTGTATGGGAGAGGCTTATTCAAAACCTCAAAATGTATGTGCGTGTATATTTTTTAACCAATAAAATTTTGCAATAGTGAAATTATACCAGTGAAATGCAGTTCATATGTAAATTAAGATATTTTTTAAATTTCTTAGTTGGTTCTTGAATGGAGTCCACCCCATAGTCTTGCTAGAGTATGTGAAGAACTCATTTTGAGTGCTGAAGATCTGACTGCAGAGGCTGAAAAACTGAAAATGGTCATGAATAAGGTACATACCCCTTTATGAATAGAGTACGTATGATAATTACCAACAGATCAACACATTTCTAAGAATTCATTCAGGTTGTAGGGTTGTTACATTTTAATAGTACTTAGCCCACAGTCACTTTGTGAGGTAGATGAGCCGTCTGTAAATTTGATAAATAAATAAATAATGGATTAGTAGATTTGGTAGACTGAGTTCAAACATGTCATTTCTAACATTCTAGAATTTGCCATTATAGAGTACATCCTAGCAGTCACAACTGAGAAAGTCAATTTTGTTAAGAAAAGTGATTGCTAAGTGAAAGAGCTTACTATATTCAGCTTTCCTTTGTTTCACAGACCTATGAATGGTCACTAAATGAGAAAGTCAGTAAGTAAGGATTACACATAAAAAACAAAGTACCATGCAATTTGGAAACTTGGTAGTCTTTTCCTATTCAGAATTGCCAGTAAGCAGATACAGCAAAATTAATTTAGGCTTGCATATGCAGTTGCAATGCTGCGTTTCTGCTATTTAAATAAGATCTTTAATGTTACAGAAGGCTAAATTTGAATTTTTCTGGAATATAGTGGTATAGATTTCTAACATTTTCTTCTTCTATTCAATACGCTTTTATCAGCTCCAAGATGGGCAGAATGACGATCCTTGCCGAGTGCAACCTTTGGTGGAATACAGCAGATGGAAGACAACTTTTTTAAAAATAGCAGTACTATCTGTGGTTGGGTCTGGATGTGTTTTCTTTATTTTCAAGTTATCTCTAAAGAAAAACTGAATTAAAATAAGATTTTATTTATAGTTGATAAAGCTACCCTGTTTCCCTCAAAATAAGACCTCCCTGGATAATAAGCCCAATTGGGCTTTTGAGCACATGAACTAAAATAAGCCCTCCCCCAAAATACTGCAATACAGCAGCAGCCATGAAGTGACCACACTCATAGCCTCCTGTACCTCAAAAATAATAAGGTCTCCCCAAAAATAAGGCCAAGCACTTATTTTGGGGTTGAAAGAAAATAAGACCCTGTCTTATTTTGGGGAAAACATGATATATAATTCTTAAGTTTTAATTTTAAAAGGTACATTGATTTTCACCATTTCTAAATTAGCCATACAGCTCTCTTTCACCAATAGATTATGCTATTGGAAGTTTACCTATTTTTGCTACCGGTAGTGTGATGCTTCTAATTTTCTTTGCAAGATATAAGGGTGGAGATAGGAATTGGAAGCAAATATGTACAAATACACTCCTGGTACAAAGTCATTCAGCTGACTTTTACTCTGCTATCATATTCTGACACTTGATTTGGGGTTATAGCAGAAACGAGCAATTTGCCTCTCACTGTTAAAATTCCAAAAAGGGTGTGTTTGTGACGGCAGCGTCCCTCAGAATAGTCATGAAGTTGAGTTGTAATGTCTACCTTCATATATTAGTCATCACTACAATAAATCCCAATTCTTAGATTTTCACATTTTAAATCCATATGAATATATGTATGTTTCAGATTCATATTGATATGCAAATAATGTAACTAAGTAAGTACTATTTTTATTCATTAGTCTATGTCTCCAAGTAATCCCTATACTGCCAATATGAATGTTCTATTAACTGTATGTTGAGTTCTTTTATTTCTCTCCATATATCATTAGATATTTTTTTCCATATTTCAAAAAGATTGGAAATAACTTATTCTCTCATACTAAAATATTTGACTGTTATTAATATCTCTTCATGGATTTCTGTCTGTGGAAGTTGTCTTATTTTAGGAAAACTAAGTAGAAGAAAGATGTGACTTAAATCCAAAAAATAAAGTAAACCTTGATCTTGTTTATGTTTTTTTTGCAATAGCCACAAGTTTGCTTAGTTTGCATTCTGACATTGCTACAAGAAGTTAATATTCAAGATTGTTACTTTTGTCTGGGTTTGCTTACTTCCTGATCCGAGTTTTATTTTTAAAAGCAAGATCAAAGTATCTTAGTGATACCTTTAGTGTTAATAGAAATCATACCATGTTAAGTTATGTTCAGGATTTTTAACAATAAATGGTTAATTGTGGAGTTTATGCTTATGCCATTTTATTATTTTTATAAATAAGATGAATATACCTGAAACACCTTCATCCACCTATTTTCCCCACAACAACCATCCTGTGAGGTGATTTGGGCTGAGAGAGAATGTCTGGCCAAAGTCACATAGCCAGTTAATTGGAGTTAGTCCAATAACTCAATAATACCAAAACCAAATAAAAAGCACTTGGAAACAACCATTAGTCCAAAATGCAATGGCACAGGTCATTTTATTTATGGATATCGCATTAATTCCAGTTGATGCCCAGGTCCAACTTAAGGTACTGTTATTGATCAATGATAACCCTTATAGGTTGTTATCTGGGTACCTTCAGGATCACCTACTTCCATCAGTAAGTTACACAAAAAAGAAACTGCTTCAAATCCTGCATTTTGAGATATTTCTGGGACTGAGTTTAAGTGGTAGTGTTCTGTAATAGTGTCAATAATGTGGCACGTTTTCCGTGAGAAGATCATATTCTTTTGGAGAATTTTGTTTTGGAAAGCTTTCTCTTAATGTTTCTGTGTTTATTTGTACTTTATGTTGTATTTTCAACTTATTTTTGTAGTTGCTTATTTATGCTTAGATGCTTTATGTAAAATACTGAACATATCTTAATCACAACAGTGTAGAAATATGATTAATAAAATAAGCATAGGAAATGGTGCTCATTATGGTCTATAAAAAGATGTATGAATTCAGTTGACTGTTTAATGCATGACATGTTCAAGTAATACATATGCCACAGCAGGTTCAATGGTTTTCCATTGTTCCCAAATCAGTTATGGATGGGTTTTATAGGAAAACCAACTTTCATGTGCCTGAGATTGGGGAATTGCATAGAAAAAAATTACACAGTGTAAGAGAATGCCACTCTAGCCAATAATAATCTCGCCTTTTTTTGCCCCGAGGGAAGATTCTTTATATAACCATTGATTGGACATAGGATGTATGTACTTCATGACAATCTTTTGATGTAGTATAGTAATGTTTTTTTTTCTCATAGAATTTGATACACTGGCCAAACTTGCAAATTTTCATAGCATGTGATGTTCTTAGCTGTGCTAGATGTTTAACCCCCTTATGATTAGAAATGTTTCAGTCACTATTATTCTATGCCTTGATAAAATGGATGTGCAAAAAACTGGAAAGGGCTAAAAATGTGAAAAAGGAACAAGAGTGACTGGAATCAAAAATCACACATTTGTTTTTCCATCCATGTAATTCCTGGTTATTGTGTTGAAGCCTTCTCTTACTCTTTTACTTGTACATAAACAACCATTTTCCATTTATTATTGTAAAAAAATTGGACTTGAGCTTTTGAGTAGAAAGCCAGTTGTATTACATATCAACTTTTTTATAATGAAAATGTAACAAAGGGGATATCTATCATACAGTATGTTATTTTGGCTTGTCTTTAGTTTGGTGTTGTTCATGTTTGCTTTTTGTTAATATGTTAATATTGTATATGTATAATATTAATATACATTAATATGTTGAATGAAATACTGAAAACTTGGAAGTTCATGATCTTTGGGTTCATGAAATACAGAATATTATCAGCAGTGTCCATTGGGAGTTAAAGAGTGTAGCAAAACAATTGAAGCCCTGCTTTTTGTATATGTGTGCAAGCTCAACACCCACAAAAGGAATCAGGCTTCAAAGCTTCTGATCCAATTGCTATTTTTAATTTTTTCCCCCCGCAACTTTACCTCCAATGCCACTAAAGGTGATTCTTCATTAGAAAGAAATTGTTCTTATGGCTGTAAGTTCTAAAGATTAGCTTTTTCCTGGCTTTTTACCTACAGCATATAAAGGCAAGCCCACTTGCTGTATGATTCAGAAATAGTTGACTTTTTATTTCTATTACAATTTTTTTTTTCTTTTAAAAAAATATTTTGTATGTTTTGGGTTTGTATGTTATAACAGTAAAATAATTTAGGGATTTCATTAATGTTTAACAAAATACTGATAGAAACTTAGATTGCACTCGGGATAAAACTCTGCCAGAGTCACAAATTTTATTATCACATATTCTTGTTTATTTATAAACAAGAATAATTTACTTTTATGTTATATTGATTTGGGGGACTATATTTTAACCAATGGGTTCTGGGGATGGTTTGATTGCTGCTTTTAGCTTTTGTCACTGAATTATATCCAGATAATCAAGTTACATGTGTAATTTTACATTTTACTATAATTTCCAGAATATTATATATAACATTTTCATATCTATAAAACAGTAATGGAAATGCATAATACCATGCCCATTACCTTTTAGTAAGGTTTTTGTTTCAGGTTAACTTCTTTTAAGACAAATTTTCCCAATATTTGTCAATAATATTTTGAGGGCTTTATAATGGAAAATGTCAGCAGGAATGATGTCAGCTAATGCAAATATAAAAATATTGCTCCACTGCTTTCCAATACCTAAAATCACCACCAACATTGGGTCTATTACAACTTAATAAATGTTTTAAAATCTAAATTTAGGATCTGTAGATTGAAATAATTATTTTCTCTGTCTATTGTATATTTGTTCTAATTATAGTCAAAGGCTGCTGGTATTTCTCACGTACCACATAATGGGTCTCCTTTCTTCCTCTGGATTCCAAAGTTCCATTTCAGACTTTGTAATTATTTCCTGGTGGGTTTTATCTGTCTTCCTCCCACTTGTATACACTACCCTGCAATATACTTTCTTATGATGAACAAATCTCATTTCCTCTCAGCTGACATTTTTACTAGGAAAACTACATTGTATTAATAAAGGTGACCTATTTACTGGTATAGTTTTAGAGCCATGATTGCCTTTTGTGTCAAAAACCTGTTTCTGTGCCTGTGTTTCCAATTATAGTTGACAGTTAATGTGTTTTCTGATAAATTTTACCTCATTTGTTTGGTATTATTCATTCTCTTATCAGCTGTTCTTTTTGTTTCATAACTTCTAACCCCACCTTTGGTATGTTTTGTATATACTTACTGTTGTGGGCATCCTTTAATATATTTTTTTAAATTGTTAGAATCAAAAAATCCTATTAAAATGGAAATAATCTCTGAAAACTTTATTGGTTTTACTGCTACCACTAAACCCTTTCCTGGTTTGGAAATAGCCTTTTATCTCTCTTATATATTTGACTAAACATGACTCAGAAATGAGAACCTGCCGGACACTGTAGTCCCTTTGTAGTAATCTGTAAACAAGGAAATTGGTTAAGATTAGTTTATAACCCAGTTCCTTTAACATCACATATTTATAGACATATTTCTTGCTTTCTTTGAAACTAAATATTTAATACCCTCCCTCTGACAGGTCTTCCTAAACTCCCAGCTCTCCTTAGTTGCATCCTTTCACCCCACCCTCTAAATCTGCCCTTAGCTTCCCTACTCTTCTGGAATATAACCTGGGAGGAGGTGTTCTGTATTCTCCTACTTTGATTGACAGTTCTAGTACTCAATCATGACACTCAATTCCTCATGGAAGCTAGAAGAGAATTAAAACCAGATCAAATGGTTGCCATACACAAAAGTTTATTTTTTTATTTTTTGTTTCTTGAAAGCAAAATAGAATCAAACATCAATGTATTTTGTACAACAAAAATGTATGATAACAGACAATTTATGAAGAGCTTAAAATGGGTTCTCTTCTAAAAAAGAAATCATGCTTTCTGGTAGTCAACAGGGAGTTGGCACAGAAAATATGGCAGTCATTGAGAACTGTTTTCCTTTAGATCCTCGTTAGCTGATGCCAGAGACTGGAGGGAAGGATGCTTTCCACTTTTTCCATCACAAAGTTTAAGGGAGCAAAGAGAGTACTAAGAAACTGCAAGAAAAGAGTTATAGTTATCTGATTTGTACCACTTAACCTAACTTGGAATAACACACAAGTTTTCATTTGAAATATTTTTAATCTATGTAGTAAATAGGTTTAAATCAATATATTAGTATAAAGATTATTTAATCTGCAGAACAAAATGTCCTAATGACTTTTCTATAGATAGAATGCTACAAAGTAAATAATTTATATTTCAGATATATTTTGATGGTTGATTTAAGCCCTCTTCAACTCACTGAAGATCTCTCTTCTGTTATGACTAGATTTTCCAGTACTCTGTTGGCCTCTCTGATGACTTTTTTTAATCATGGGGCTCTTGCTTAGTTATACCATCAAACTTTCTCCCAATGTTCCTATCTTCATTAAACAGATCATCCTCATCTGAAACATAGTCTGTCTTTCCCAATAATTTTGTTCTGATTTTTGCCTCATGTAACTGCGTATTTGCCTCTTATCTCTCTTATGGTGCCCTTAAGGCAACTTTCAGAATTCTTTACTATGGACTTTCATTTCCTTACTTCAGAAGGACACGAAGGTAGGGAAGGCTGATGTACAGATGCAGTGACAGAATTTTTACAATATAAAGAATAGATTGATGGATTCTTAATATGGTGATGGGATGGCCAGAAATGGAACTGATAATAAAAAATAACATTCGGTCAGATCATAAGAGCAAGATAATTGATAGGGCTTGTTAGGAATAAAAATATGTCAGCCTTCCCCACCTCTCCCCCCCCCTTTTTAAACATCATTTATCACTAAAAATGGAATGAAAGAATAGCAAGAGCAGGACAAAATATATATTCCTGTTATTCCCTTGCTTAGGTGGTAAGTGAATTTGTATCCCAGTGTACATTTTATCTGACTTATACATATTTCCTTACTGTGTTGTAGTGTTTAATCTCTTGATTCTATTATATATGATCTCATATGTTCACAGATTTTTTCTTTTTAAAACTTGTTTTTTTAAACTTGTTTTTTTAAACTTGTTAAGGAATTGACTGCTCTCAAAATCAAATCAAATGCAGTAAATAGAAGTCTCACATTGAGAACTATTGACATGATGCGACTTATAAACATTAATTAATAATACTGTATGTGATCTCATGTATTCTTCCCATTTGTGAATATAACATTTTAAGTGCTCCTGTCAAGACGTTTAAAAAGTGGTATGTTTCTTTGAATTAACCATATGTTCATTTCATTTGAAATACCTTTTGCATTGGAAGTTCCCTGGCAACAGATTAGTAACATTCTAACTCAAATCACATTCCTCCCACTCATTGCTAAAATGTAGTGACAAATAATGATTTGTAAAATGGTTTCCATATGGCAAAAAACAGCAACTGTTGTGCTTGCTGATTAAAAAAAAGCTGTTATCCCATAATTCATTTACTCACCCCTCCCCTTCATCCATCAAAAAAATGAACAAACAAGGACATGATACTCACTGCTTTTGCAAAAACTCCCATTAGTTCTGGGAACTGATGTGTCAGAAGGGCCAACATAGCCGTGAAAGAACATAATCCAGCAGTGAACAGAATAAAGAATGGAAGCTCTTTCTTGGGGTAAACAGAGACTTCATGAAATGCTGCCAAGAAGATAATAATAAGAAAAAAAGTGAAACACTTTTAGGCAGAGTTACAGATTTCAATCAATCTGGTTAAATTTCCTAAAATTATTTTTATTATAAATCTCCATAATTCTTAACAATTTTATACTGTACTTAATATAGTATGCTATTAATAATTAAATATCTTTTTCTTTTATTAAACTAATAAAAATTAGGCATTAATAAAATAATACAACATCAAAGTATGAAAAGGAGGAAGGACCCTGGACTTAATCTCAAGAACACAATAACTCCTGATCAAATTATTCAGTTATCCTTGTCTCCTTTTTTTAAAAAAAAGACCAATTAAAATTGTTTTTCAGACTATACTTAATCTAGTTTTTGCTAATTATTAATTTGTATGTTTTATTAATATTTATATAATATCATGTTTGATATGTTTATCTTTTCACCAATGTTCTTTTTATTTGTTTAACAAAGCAATTCACACACGCACACACATACTTCATTGAATTTCTGTTCAAGGAAGGTAATTTCATATTAAAGATCCCAGCTTGAATCTCTTTCTTCTCAGAATGGAATATTAAGCTTATCAATATTTGGTTTTGTACGATTTATTGCTGCCTGAGATGTAGTAACCCAGGTTTGAGTTGGATCACAAGTCCATTATTATTTTAATCAGTACTCCCAGATTGAAAGACAAACTTGCTAAATTTGTTAATTCCTCTGCTGACCTGGAATTAAAGTCAGATATAACTTTTTATTTGCAACTTGGGTTGGAAAAGAAAAATGTTGGTTCTTGAAGCTGGAGTTAATTCAGTTTGTGCTACACATAAGACTTTGAAGAGCTCCAATTTCTTTTTTCATTAAAAAGCTGATTGTGCATATTGTGAAGAAGGCAACTGAATTTATTTGGATGTTTTCATGATTTGGCTTGCAAGCCTTTAGTTAATACTCAATGTAACAAAATCTTGATACAATTTACATAGCAGAAACCTTGTTTATGACCTAATTCAGATAAATTGTTCTTGCTTATTTAAAAATAAAACCAGGGTGTGTGTGTGTGTCAAAACTTACATGGAAGAAGCTCTCTGTCTGCTGTTTCGGTACAAATGGGATAAGGATAAAAAAGGTGCCCTTTTTCCAAAGGATAAGGGATCATTCTGAAAGCTAAAAGAAAAAAAAAAAAATTTTGAGGACTACAGATTAACTTTCTCGTATTTAATGGATTTCAGGTGTGTGGCCTTTCAATTCCCATAATCCCTAGTCAGTATGGCTAACCAGGTCTGTTTACGTAACAAGTGAGAAATGTGAACTGAGCTCCAAAACATGCATCTATAGAAGATCTATATACTTGCATCAAGGAGAATGGTCAAGATACAGATTAATTCACCACTATCTCCTCTACATCCATTAAATACG